TTTTATACTCGATTAACGATTTATCTCCTTTTTCAAGAAAGGGAAGAAATAACAATTGAAAAAAAGACGTGTTTTCCCGCACCCTATTGGATGAAATCAATGGACCCACGTAAATAAGCCCAATCAACCAATCAAATGGCGCCACGTCATCATAAATGTTCTGGTATTTGAAGACCGAAGTTGAACACTGGAAATCGCGTCGATTCTTCATTTTGCGTCTCAATTGAAATTGTTTGATTTTGATTTAGAACCGATCCCAATTTTCCACTCAATCTGGTGACAAATCCTTACAAGAATCCCCCGGGTTACGCCATTTCTGTAGCGAAGAACGCTGCTTCCACGATTTTCGAATTCGCCATTCAGCTTCTCTGAATTCTGAAACAGAGAGCTCCGTGGAGAAGATGAAGCGATTACCGAGTGTGGCTTTCGTGCTTTTAGCCATTACTTGGTTTCCCACGTCTGAGTGTTCGAAGAAGCCATCAGCGGCTGCTAGAAGAGAGGACATTCCGTACATTAAATGCCAGGTCTGTGAGAAGCTTGCCGCGCAGTTGTACTATCAAGTTGAGAAGAAACAAGCTGAGATCGCTCCCAAGAAGGTAATTCTATATTGCTGGTGTTTCATGGATCGATTTGAAATTGTTTGAATTAGAGATTGTATCCAGTTTCAGTAGTTTTCGTGCATTATACCTTTTTTGGGTTCTTGTTTTAGATCTCGGAGTATCAAATTATCGAAATAGCTGAGAACGTTTGTAATCTGAAGAAGGCAGAAGCCGATTGGATACTACAGATTGACATTGTTGAACAAGGTGATAGGCTGGAGGTAAGAGGAACATAGATGAGTTTTTGGTTGTTTCAATACAATTTGTGAACTTAGTATCTCTCTAAAACGTGGTTATTTAGGTTTAGTAACTTGGTTGTTGCTCCTTTATCTTAAATTGCCATAATTTTTTCAACTAGGAGAATGAATGAAAATGAATAAACTTTATATAATTTTGCATTTTTTCCTTGTTGGAACATTATTTGGGTTCTCATTTTCTTCTAATAAACTTCCACAACGAAACTGAAAATATGAGAAATCATTTTGGTTTTTCTTGAGAAATTTTACCTGTAAGCTACGACTCATTGATGATCCATGTCTTCTCAGCTAGTGGAACAGAACACTGAAGGACAATGCAATTCAAAGTGCAAGACTATTGAGCGTGCATGTCAGGAGGTATTGATTCTGGCCTTAAGTTGAATGTTCTTCAAGCACTTCAACTACCTTTATTAGCTGCAAAAATTAGAATTAAGTACACTTTCCATAATCTGGGAAGATAAGATAATGAGAAATCTTATTGCCTTGAGCCTTGGAAATTCTGCTTTATAATGGAATTGATTCCCAATCGTGGGTGGAAATTGCTTAAATCTGTTGTGTTGGGCATTGCAGGTCATGGGATATTCTGATACTGATGTTGCTGAATACCTGTACAGCTCTAAACCTCAGATTGATTCATTGGTGAACTATCTGTGCAAGGACCTCACAAAATCATGCACTACAAAGCCACCTCCAGTTGCTAAGGTAGCTTACTTACTACATGCCAGTTTTTCTTATTTATAGTAACTCAGTTCCGGGAGCCCCATGGGAATGACTGGTCCTCTAATTATATGTTTAAGTTTAAATGAGATGGTGAGCCTTACATATTACAGATTGATTTTTTTGAAATCCAACTTATTTAATACCATTGGTTAAATTTCAAATATGGGATATTTCTAATGGTGCTTGAGAAATGAAGTCACCAGAGGTCCATATACTAACCATTTTTGTTTTTAATTGTATGATTTACTTAATCTACTTTTTGTGCTTAAAATTTGGCACTATTTAAAGAGAACTTATTAGTAAACCTCAGTTTTCAAAAAGGAAAAAAGGACAAGTAAAGAAAATTGTTACGAAATGAGGCCAAAGTTAATAAGGTTTTCAATTCATAACCAGTTATTATCGAGATTCTGTCTTTTGTAATTGATCCCTCATTGTCCTGTGATCCAGGATCGGATTCCAGGCGAGCCCTTCGTGGCCAAGTCAGCGAAGGAGGCTGAGATGGAAAAGATAATGAAATCTATGGAGGTAAAGTAATTTACTATTTCAGTTCAGTGCTTGTTAAACAGTGGCTCCTAAATTCGACCTCTATTTTTAAGCTTAACCCAAGTCCTAATATGAATCAGGGAATGCCAGGAGCGCCCAACATGAAAATGTATTCAAGAGATGATCTAATGAACATGCAAAATTTTGGAGGTGAAGATGAAGACGAAGACGAGGATGAAGATGATAACTTCCCCTCAAATTTGGTACTTAAAACATATTTCACTTGGCCAGAAGTTTTAGGGATTATATATGTTCTGCATAAACTTATGGGAAACTTTATTGTAGGGAAAAGTTTTAAGGGAGAAAGATGGAAAAAAGGGTGATTGGAAAAGCAAGATCACCAAAGGCGTTTCAAAGGCAGGGGAAGCAATAAAACAGCATGCATACAGAGTCTCCAACAAAATAAGGCATTGGTGGAGAGCAAAGTCTGGAGGTTCAAAAGCCACAAAACAAGAACTTTGAAGCCTCATTAACTTTACCAATGCAGGAAAATCAACACCAATAGTTCATTGTATTCGCATCGCCCCTTAGAAAGTTAGCTAGTAAATCCAACAGCAAATACAGAAGTGTTCTAGTACAAATCAAACCCATGTTCTGAAATTTTGTGGTTCTTTTTATGTTGAGGAAAACTAAGTCTTGCTATTGGAAATTTTGTGGAACTCCAGCTTTTTTTGGCAATGGTTATTATAAATTGCTTTCCAATCAAAGCAGCGTTATCAAATTGAGGATAGATTCACCCATTTCTCAAATTGAGGACATAAAAGCGAATTATAATATAATTTAAAGCATCCGGATGGGTAAAAGAATACATAAAGTGTTGTCAAATTGCCAAACCTAATACTCAAAACATTGATTGTGTCCATAGACAGACCGAGATGTTGCACTCTGCCAAATCAACGCATCTTGTAATGTTGAGTCTTCGAGATCGAGCATCGACGTCCATTGAATGAATATTTAAGCACAATATCAATATCACGAGGATTCTTCGTGTTTGGAGCAACAGTCAAGCTCCCAGTGACAGSCTCTCCCTCACAAATGGTGAGAACATCTTCCAAGTAGAGAACTGTTTGCTTCCAATGTGTAGTTCTTGATCTTGGCCCTGCAAAACATAACATTGTAGTCATGAGTTACAATATCTCAAAGACCATTGATACACCCCAGTGATGGATTTATATTATATGGCTGACCCTACTTTTATTTCTTTTAATGTACTGATCGATGATTTATAGGATCTAATGAAAACGTGTCAGTATAAAAACAATGAAATTTACCGGTCGAGAATCCAGTCAACTTATGGCACTTGGTAAACGATACATCAAAGTAGGCTACAAGGGCATGAATGTAATCATCGCGTTCCGCTACAAGCTTGAATGGAGCAGTAAAGGAAGCATCGCCTGGTGCCATTTTGGATATATCCATTGTCTGAATGAGACAACCCGAATCATGTTATCTATAATTGAAAGTTGAAACAATAGGTCTAAAAGCAGACAACTAAAGCTAAATCTAAAATACTTCTCTAATTAGATCACGGAATAGAATTATTACTACTTGTAGCATACATACTTCTCAATACTTGTTTGATACTAAAAGAATGAAATTCAAACTTTAACTTCATGAAACTAGATTCTATCAGGACACCCCAGATGTTCAGAACTAGTATGATGGATTGCAGTCATCGAATGATCTCAAAAAGAGAGTTGGATGACGGAAGTTCCCAAGTCAAAACTTTGGGATGTGATGCAAGAAGCAAAGAAACGTTCATGTTCCATGTGAATATTGAACAATATTGTACTGAAAAACTCAGGCAGGCATGACGTATTTAAGTAAGGCACAATTAACTCAATGTTTGTTGTGGTTCTCACCTTAAGTAGATGGCTGTTTGTAACAATTTGATTCTGGTCAACAGTGTCCACCAAAGGCTCGACCAAGGCTTGCTTCTTAATGCAGCTCATGTCGAACCCATATACATTATTCCAAACTATTTTAGCAAGCAATTGAACAAGGAAGCAACATCAGAAAAACTGTAACATATATGGCTGAACAATTCTAATAATGTTTATACCAACGCATATGAATGCAGAATGTACATTGATGGGCTAAATAAAACATCTTGATAAGATGAGATACACCAGCTTATAGAAGTGTCGCACAGTAATTAACTCACACTCAATCTTATCGTCTTTATAATCTGCATCCTCAATGGCTGTTAGATGTAGAGAAGCTTTGTCTGGTAATACAATACCATCATCCACCTGCATAACATAAACCGACATAACATGTGAATATAAGGAATCAGCTGGACATCCCTCATCTGGATTGCCCCATTATCAAATAATTATCATACCATTGCACAAGAGAACAAAACAGAGGCACTTGATTGTAGACGATTAAAAAGATTGACTTGCTTATAGAGATGCAGAATGTATTTATGGCCAAAATAATTTTTACAACCTTCAAGAACATTTGACCAAATGCAGTGTACAAAGCCAAACGTAAAGCTACAGAAGATTTATTTGAATTCTAGTAAGATAGATAATTATTTAAAGCCAGCGAGCATTGGAATCTCAGCAAAAATACAGAAACACTTACAAGCCACTTATCACGAGCATATAGGACTGTATTTAACATATTCTCGAACAACAAGAAGTATCCCATCCATTCTGAAATAATTATGTCCACTTTGGCAACGGGAAGCTCAATTTCTTCGATCTTCCCTTTCAGAACTGTTATAACTGCCATAAAGAAATGAAAATAACTGAGAAAAGGCAATTACATGAAATCACAACAATGTAGTACAGTACAAGAGGAAAAAGAGTTAAGAGATTTAAGAAAAATACCATTAGAAAATCCATTTGTTTCTACAATCTCTTTTGCCATGTCAGCCATATGGGAGCACTCGACCTGTAAACAAAAATTTCCTTAGAAACAAAAACTAAAAGAATAAACCAAAAGAAAATGAAAACAGCAGCTGCCATACTTACAGCATAAACATGTGCAGCTCCTGCCTTCGCGCAAAATAGGGACAAAATACCCGTCCCTGCTCCCACATCAAGAACAACTTTATTTTTGAACAAAAACTTATTTTGATAAATTACATTTTGATATGTCTTAGTTCTAACCGAATCCTTCAACATTTCCTGCAACGAAAAGACAGTCATGCTAAATGTCTCAAAATTTGATGGTTTAAGGCCGTGTTAGTGTAGAACACAACAAAACAATAAATCTAAGCTCTTCATGTCCAATGTAGAGCAAAAACTTACTTCGTGAATACCTGCACAGACAAAAACAACAAACATATAAAAAGAAATCAGTTTTCAGGATCATTCTTCAAGATAATTGGCAAAATATGAACCGGCAGATGATAATCATTCCCAAAAAAATAAATAAACGAATGAATGAACAAAACATACATCACATATAAACACATTCACACGAAATAAGGGACAAATTGAATCCATTTAATTTCCGTGGTTATAAACCCTAAATACATACCCAGAACCAACACGAAGGCAACAAAATGATCTATAAATAAGGAAGAACGAAAGATGGTTACCGAAGTGAGAGTAGGAATCGAAGTAATAGTCTGCACTGGTTTTATCATCTTTGTCATTTAAGGACTGGACGGGCTCACACGCAGAGTCTTCAGTAACTCTGTTGGAGTCATCTGCTTCGCACATGGACTCGTCAATGTTGGAGCTCTCGGTGGTTTCTTCAATCAGAGCTTCATCCTCGTCTTCGAAACGAATCTTCGAACCATGGGGCTGAAGCGAGCCGTTGCTGGTTGAACTCTGATTGCCATTTTTCCGGCGACCCATTTGTGCGATTAGGGTTTTTCGATTGAGGGTTTTAGCGCTAAACTTTGCTTGCTCGCCGTACAGCTGGAAACTGAGCGGCTGCCAGCAAGTTGAAGCGCTATTTAAATTGGCGGATTTTAAGGCCAAGGTCTCCAATACGGGTTTTTTTTTTTTTTTTTTTTTTGACTACTGGATATCTATTTATTGGCATTATTTTAATTTTAATTAATAATCGAACAAGCTTTATTTATTTATTATTACAGTTTAATCTTGTTTTGGTTACCAATTTTTTAGATTTTCTTCTTTTTGTCCTTTAAAAATAGCGGGATTAAAATGATTATTTTTTAATTTAGAAATTAAAATAGACATTTGAAAACTTTAGAAATTATATTATAGAAATCTAGAGAACAAAATGATCTTTTTAAAAACCTAGAGACCAAAATATAAAAAATCTAAAATGAGATTTAGACTTTAAGTACGGCACTCCCATTAATTAAATATTTGTCCATTAAACCATGAATTGAGTAGATAGTTTAAGTAATAAATTTAGAATTAAACATTTATAAACAAGTAAGTAAATTTTAAAAATTAATCTCTTTAGGATTTGGGTTTTGCATCCTAGATGTCATTTTCAAAATTTTTAAAAAATCTATGTTCTCTTCCAGATTGTTTGTTGGAAAAAAAAAACATTAACCAATGAATTCTTACATTTTTCTTTCTTTTTTCCTTTGATATTAAAGAAATAGTTTTCCTTCTAACTAAATTATATATTTTAGTGCTCATAAGAATAAGCTAGACTTCATGAGTCTAAAAAATAAGAACTATAGTTCAGTTCTTAGGTTGAAGAGAACAAAGATGATTCAACATGAACTGAACCAAATAAAAAATATTTTTATTATAATTCTAATCACAATCTTCATCCTCTTCATTCTTTCATGCAACTTCATTCTACTTTCTCTCAAGTCTCAATTTACATTTTCAAGCTTGAAACCTCTTCCTATCCATTATCGTTTCTTTCCATCTCCAACTTCTACCGTCCATTCCAGCCTTTCAGATCTATCACGCTGTCTACACCATCAACGTCTTTGCTCAAAATTTTCTTTCACCACCGACGTCTCTACTTCTCAAATCTCTCATCATCAATATCATCCACCATGCTCGCCCCTCATCTACAATACGAGACAAATCTTCGACTCCTTCAAGCTCTTCTTTTTCCTCACATATATCGATTTTCCTCTCCAGCAACTCAATGACCCAACCCAACTTAAACTTTAAAGAGTTTGGTTGAATGTTACATCCAGTTCAATTCAAATTGGTTCATAAAATATCTCTAAACCGGTCCAACTCAACCCATGTACACCCCCCTAAAACTAGCCGAATTTATTGGAAATATAATTGTTATTTGAGATAATAGATGGATATTTATTTTAGAACCTCAAGATCAAATAGTTTAGTTTAGAACATAACAGTAGTGAATGGCTGATGCTGATGCAGGTACACCTGATGCCAGCCAAGTGCTGGACGCAACTCCAAAACCGAAAGCCATTTTGGCGCAGCACTTTTTATTCTACACATTGACGAGTGACGAGTACCCTATTCAGCAGCGGGCAGATTTTTGGTCAATTGGCCATGAGGCTCCTGCCATAACTGCCTCTATTTCCCATGTTTCTCGTGGACATTTTGTCATGTTCCTGCAGCCATTGGCTGTGACTAGCTGCAAAATGTCAAACACAAGATGTCAAAACCGAACCGAAACCCGATGCCAAAAACCAAGCCGACCAAACCGCTTACACCCCTACTCAAAACAGGCGCCAAATAGACATGTTAGTTTAAGAAAATTTTAAATCAAAATCGAATCATCGTCCAACTAAAACCAACAAATTGACCGAAACTAAACCCGAAACGAACCGACCATTTTTTTTATTAGACTTGAGAAAACCGAACCAACAAATTACAGTTTTGATCGACCAGACAGTTTCAGCTAGCACCTACGAGTACCATTACCACCACAAGATTGCAGGGAATTTATTAAAATTTTGCCGAAAGCAAAAAACGAAGAAAACAGCTTATGGTTAAAAAGGATCAAATTGTAAGGATCAGAGGTTTGGGGAACGCAGTACCACATCACTTTCAATTCGGACACCGCCAAAGCCTCTGAATCTGTTCACTGCTTCAACATTGAAAAACTTGGAAGTTTTACTACTCTCAATGGCCGGATCTAATAGTGCATCAATGAAGTAGCATCCGGGCTCCACGGTGATGACCTGCAAATTAGCAATAAAATGATCAACTCCGCATCATTCTTATAACGAAGAAGCATACTAGAAGATTACACGAATCACAAATGATTAAGAATAATTCGCGAAGGATGCTTGATATGAAAGTTGCTCGGGGTTCATATTTGAGTTTATGAATAGAACTTGCAATCAAATCCTGCCATTAGATAGACACATAGGAACCAAGCCGATGAAAGGAAACAATTTGCTCTTGTGACTTGTGATAATCAAAAGCTACGCAACTAACCATTCCTTCTTTAAGTTCTCGAACTGTACGTAAAGCATTTAGCCCTGGTTCCTTTGGCCTCTCCAAACCCTATAAAAACATGCAAAAGGTTAAGAATCGCAAAGGATTTTTTTACAAGCCATTAAAAACTTATCTTTTTCCTATTTTTCTATTTTCTCAAGTTATTTTTGTTCATTTTAACCCATTTCTAATATTCTTTTTCTCAAGTATGTGTTTGCTTGTGTGGTGCACACGTGTGAAGGAGAGAGAGAACATGGAGAAAATAATCATCCAATGGAACCTGTAAGAAACCACCAGGATCATGAGTATCGATACCAAGGAAATGTCCCAATCCATGCGGCAAGAAAACAGCACCGAGATGTTCGGCTATCATGTCCTTCACATTTCTACAACAAAATAACACAATTTCCTCTTTCATTCTAATATAACGTGGACTGCAAACAAAAAAGAATATAAAATTATAGGTTGGGATGGGGTTAGGATAAGAATGTACCCGACAAGTACAGAACCCTCGGTCAGTGACTCAAGGATAGTCTTCTCGGCTAATCTAGCAATCAAAAAAATGTAGAATAAAAAAGTATTCGACCAAACATTGATAAGATGTACCAACCATAAATAAAAGATACCGAGACGACAACAGTTAATGTTAGAAACAACGTTAATTTAATAACGGCTAACAAAAACACATGATTTCCTATTACACAAGAAAGTAAAATAATTTACATAAATCTCGACTAATTTTACGGGATAATCGTTTGATCCTACAATATTTTTTTTCAAAAAACTCATAAGATTTTAATCTAGGTCACCAGCTAGGGAGTTTAAACTCATTTCTCTAAAGTCAATTTACATTTTTCAATCCAAAATAGTGGCAAGCAATGTAGGTATGTATTGATCTAAGGAATGAACAAAGTCAGGCTAGAAGTGACATAGAAGGGGAGAAAGTGGGAAAGCAAAGTATCACTATTCCAATGATTGGCTTTTCTCGCATCATCGCATGTATTGACTAACTGACGACAAAAGTTTGATTTCAGGAAAATTATATTTTACGATGTGTGGATTAGACAGGCTTATTTATTTATCCCAACTTCTAAGTAGGAAAACAGTCATCTAGGCTTTTTCCTTCACCACCTAATGTAAATGAGTCGTATATGATATCCACGAGTTACTCAAATTATCTTGTATGCTCGAAAGAATATCAGAGCTAGGATATCAATAAAGCCTACCTGTGCATTTCAACCCAGCTTAATCCAGGTTTCATAACTGATATGACATCATTGTGAGCCTTGAGGACAGCCTGGAACACAGGACAACAAATTGACATGGAGAAAATAGGAAAAAAGAGAGGTAGCCAATCCTCATGCCAAGCTAACGCTACTAAAGATTAAAAGTTATGGACTGCATTTCAAGAGGCACTTACATTATATATCAGCGATTGGTCACTTGTAAATTTACCATTCACCTGCGACAAGGATGAATATATTTTATGGAAAGTCAAAATGATTGATATAAACTAAAGGATAAGTTTAAGAAAATTGTACTTGGTGGCACAATAAAATGCTTTCCTTGGAAAAGTGGTTGCCGAATGATTTTGTTTTCATGGAATTTTCAGTGATTTTAAATTCTAATGGATTTCAAATGAATTCTTAAGTTACGCCTATTATCATTTAGAATAAAAAGGCTTGAAACCAATTGTGACTTCAAATCTTGTTTTTACTTTTCGAAAAATTTTGAACTCTAATGGTTGGATTTCATAAGATTTCAAAATAAATTACTAACTTAAATTTTAGTTTTTTTATTCATTAAATATGATTGAAAGGTTATATTAGTAAAATTATTATTTTCTTTTCTTTTCCGGTCAACATCTAACTAAAAAAAATTAATTGCATTCATTTGAACATGATAGGATTGCTATTAGGATATGTTGGGGATATTATTAGGATATTTAGGGTATATTAGTAATTAGGTTAGGGAGTTTGGTTATAAATAAGGTGTGAGGGGGAAAGGATGAAAGTAGGCAATTATTGAGTGATTTAGGCTTGAGTAAGAATACTCAAGAGAGGGAGGGTCAAGTACCTCGAATTACTTGGTAGCTATTGTAGTATTTACTCCTTTTATATTTCAATATATCGTTTGTGTTCTGGTTCTATCAGAACGTTTCCAATCATGGGTCAAGTGAAAGATAATATATCTACAACTTCACTTAGAATGAATCAGCATAAAGTAAATGTCACCTACTGGGAATGAACAAGTAATGTCGGATGCATAAAAATGGTATTCTGCTCCCATATCAAACAGAGCCATATCACCATCTTCCAACGTCTGCATACAAATAAATTTTATAAGAAAACAACTTTGGTATGCTTCACAAAAGATTCAAAGAAAAATTTGGGATTATATTCTACTTAGACTTCAATTCAACAGAATATTAACATCAAAAGATAAAATTATTTTAATTCAACGTACTCTGTCATTTGGAGCTGCTGCATGTCCATAGTGAAGAACGGCACTGCAACATAGAAGATCATCCGTACGTCAGCATCACTCTCACCACTGTTACACTTTAGTTTTAAAAAATAAACAATTTGAAGGACATCATCCACAGTCCAGAACCGCCCCTGGCTCCCCCTCCCCCAAAGAGTAAGCTTATTGGGGGCCGCTGACAAAGTCATGCAGCCAACATCAAGTAAACGCACAAAAAGCTTAAATGATCCTATGCGTCCACTTTGGAAAAACAGGTAGATGATTTCAGCAGACTTGCCTATTTTCTCCTGTGGCACATATACAGGTGTATGAGCAGTGCCTACATCCACCATACATGTACGTGTGATGAAGAAATAAGCTTTCCAATTGATATTCTTTCATGCCCACCTTGATATTTCTCATAACCTGGAACAAATGCATGCTTCATCTTACATGTTATCAACAAACCTCTCACAACTTTCAGTCGCGCACATAAATATAGGGATTAAAATAAAAGCATAAGCTGAGCACTTAAATTCAAATATTCATGTCATGCGAACCTGTCGTGGAAAATGTTACCTTTTCCTATTAAAAAAGAGTTGTTACCTGAACATGAGCTTCTGAGCTAATGTCGTTGGCAAATTGAATAAGAGCAAGCTCCAGCTCAGATTTCACAACACGACATTCAGTCAAAATAGGATGCAAGGTATTCAAATCAGTTTCAAACGTATCAATCCCCTGAACAAATAAAAATGAGATGAAGAAAAAGTCAAAATATGATTCTCAAAGATCAAAGTTTGAAGTCTGCTGCTAGTTACAACAATAAGGGGCCAATTGATAATGCTTCTAATTTCCAATTTCTTAATTCTTTTAAAAAATACAGGAGCATGTAAGTATTATTAATTTTTTTGTTACATATTCTGCCCGAAGAGAAAGAGAAATACATTTGATGTTATTTCCTGTTTCTTGTGACCTATTATTTCAAAATTTAAATACTCTTTTTTTTTAGATAAGAAACATTTTATAGACAGAAGGCACAGAGCCAAAAAAAAACAGCCTAAGGGCAGGGGGAAGAGGGCTCCCCTCCCACGAACTAATGAAGAAAAGCTCTCCAATCTTGCAAAATCGACGAGAGGCTGTAATTACAAAAGAGTTTTCTATGCCACCAAGAAGTGTGTAACTGAACTGTATTACAAAAGTTTTCAAAAGAAGAAGACTTGCCCTAAAAAATTCTATGGTTTCTTTCCATCCAAAGATTCCAAAAGAGGGCTCTAGCGGCACAATTCCACAAAATTTTAGCTTTGCCTTTGAACTGCCAACCCCGCAGAGCTTCATTCATCCACCCTTCAACATTATGAGGCATGTAACTGGAGTATCCAAAGATTTGAAGAAGAAAAGACCACCCTCGGAGAGCAAACTGACAGTGAAGGAATGTGTGATCTATGGATTCCTCGTTCTGTTTGCAAAGAACACAAACAGAAGGGGAAATAGCCCAATTTGGACATTCTCTGGAGTCTATCTGCTGTGTTAACCGCCCTGTTTGAATTTAAATACTCTTTTAATTATTACATTATTTTTTACTTAAAGATATTTATGTAATTTATGAGCCAAAATGAAAATTTTACAATTTTACTACTATTTCCTAAAACTGAAATAAAAAATTAGGAATTCAAGAATAGATTTTCTTTTGCCATGATATGCACATCGTATCAGTAACAGTTTCGAAACAGTAAACAAAAAGCAGAAAACACAGTCAAAAGTAAAACACAAAATAGAAGCATAATGAATGAGCCTTGGAAAACTGATGGCCCATTTCAAGATCAAGATGCAGCAAATGCAGCAACGCATCTGCCTATAAGCTCTAATGAAACTAAATGGCTAACTTTGAAGTTTTGAAAAATGTATTGGATAAAGGGGAAAAATAACCTCAAAATTTGCAGGTACTGAGAAATTGTTGCTGTCAGTATTCAACCCATGTAAGAGAAACAATAATGGTTTCTTCGATCCCTCGTATTGTTTGTGCAGAACAGTTGCAATTTCATCGGTGAAATATGCCATATTGACCATATATTTTTCCTACAAACCATATTCAGTAAAATAAGTAAGCAAACTAAACACAACAAGGTGTAATACACCAAGTGTTGGTTACCATACACCACCTTGAAATAAGACAAAGGCTTTATTTCTCCCGACCATACAGCATAATCAGAAGGTAACTTAGGAGCGAACAGAATTGATTTTCCACTCGCGACGTCCTGTATAATTTTAGTATTATACAAGTCAATAATGTGAATATATGATTGAAATAAACGTAAAGGGAATGATTTCATTTTCATGAATACAGCTATACGTGCAACTATATAATCAAACCTATTAGTTCAGAGAGTATCGGAGTTGAAAGAAAACAACCTAACGAAAAATTATATATTTAACAGTGAACACACCGAAAGTATTTACTATTTAGTATAAATGTACAAACTCCAGTATAAAGATGAGTTTAGATAATAAAAAGTTAAACATTCAGACATTCCAGAGAGTAATATGTGGCTTACAATAGCGCCATAGAATCCAGGCTCTATCACTCCAAACAGATAAGCAAAATAGCTCTCTTGCCTGCAAACAGAACCAACCATAAATAAAATTCCGTACAGAAAAAGCAAAAAGGAATAGCGATCAATGTAGAGCTTCGGGTAACACTCCAAGAACTCAACTCATTCAGGATGGGAGCGTAATAAATCAGCGTTACTAAATTACTTTCTATAATCTTCAGCAGTGGCACGACATACAATTCAATAATGTCGAGAAAGTCATCTAGCCGCGACGGAAAGAACAGCAGAATTCAGACCTTAGAGCATAACTTGTGATGCATTCGCAATACTTAGAAACTGAACACTGATTACGACGAATAACAGCAACTTAAACGTCCGTCAAGTACCTGAAGAGTTCGAGGTGGTCCGTATCGTAGCGCGTTTGCTCATCACCTCCCTAAAAAATCGTCACAATCGAAGAAATGGACTTACAGAAGTCACAAACAGAACATTAGCAAATCGGTAAGGTGAGTTGCAGAGTGAGAGCTAATTTACTTGAAGCAACACAATGCCCTGGAGAGGACGAGCGGAGTCGGCGAGGTGCTGGCGTAATGATTTGAGCAACTTCTCTCTATTGGTCACGTAAAGCTCCACCGGCACCGGCGGAGGAGTAAGAAGCGACGGCGACGCCATCGGAGTGTCAAAATCGCATTGATGGCGAGGGAAAATCAATCGGCATAACCGCAAGAACCAAGATTAGTGTAGCGCGAGCGCGATCCAGTGAGGAAACAGGACGCTACTGTTCCTTATCCTGTTGAGTGTTGGGCCTTTGAATTCGACGCGCTTGTTTTGTTCTTCCATAATTGGATCTCGGCTCGTCTTAACCCTCTAGGGCTTGGAATGGCTACAAATGCAAATGCTATATTTATTATTATTTTAAAAAAATAAAATAAAATACCCACTCTATTCTATTACTACAAATTTGGGGTTTTTTTTCCTCTATTTTTTATCTATGTATTTAGCTCCAGTTTCCAAGTTTTATAATCTTTTAACTTTTCAAATTTGTTAAATCAAGCACTGATTTTAAATTGGCCCTAAAATAAATACCACTTCAAGTCTGGATTAGAAACTGATGGTAAATTAAACCAATAAAATACTTAAAACCGAGTTACACAAATGCCAAAATTCAAAAATAAAAGTTACTGAACTTTACAACAAATAATTAGTTAGGTAAAAGTTGCTTAAATTCGATAATAAAGTGTCTAAATTAAGCTAAAAATTTATAAACTAAAAAAAATATATGCATATTATGCTTTGAGACTATGCTACCATGGTTATCCTCCTCATTGAAGGTTAAAAGTTGGATATCTAATTTTGTTTATTTATATATTTAATACTAAATTTTGGTATAATCATATAACCAAAAGGGTTTTCATAAACAATTTATATATTTTCAAACATCAAACTAACAAAGGTGGGAGTGGAAATGCACTGTATAAATAAAATTGTCTTGACTACTCATTCAAACTCAGTTGTATTATTAGTTTTTTATATTATGTTTTTCGAAAGAAAAAAAGGGCATAATAATCATGGAACCATAAGATTGCTACAACCATGTTGTGAATTTTCAAACTCATTCAAAATTCAATTATTTACTATGAGTTTGAGATGATTTTGTTATGAAATCTTTGAGAATTAGATCTTAAAAACGTTGTCAACAAACTAGATACACATAACTCTATCTAAAAAATGGTAAAAACGAATTTGAAATTAACCCAACCATAATAAATATTAAATATTACCTCGTTTTTTTATCTTTCGAGAAAAAATATAATATTCCCTTGTTAATCAAATGTCAGCACAACTTGTTATTTGAGATATGAATTACTTTAGAAGCTAATAATATAGGATCGAGTTTCACTTAATAATCATCCTAAATATCAAAACTATCGTAAAATTATATAATAGATTAAGTCACAGTTAAAATAATCATTTTCATTATATTTATAACTTGAAACCATCACAATTTTTAATACGCGACAAAAGCATGACCTCACTTAAATAATAAGATCTCGATTTCTTGGACATTGATAATAAAATCAAACAGAAATTATTTAGAAAAAAATCCCTTCAATAGGGTGGGTAATACATTAACGTTTGGAATGGATTTCTTTTCTCTTGTTTTTAAGGAAAATATTTGACTATTTGTCGATGAAAAAATGTTGTCAAATTATAACGAAAATAAGATATGTGAAAAATATAAATTTTAAATTTGATATTGAGTATCAATTTACACCTTATACTTGGATAAGTGCTGTAATTTCCACTTGCATTGTAAAAATTTATCGAATAAATTTTTCATTTAAAAAATTGTTGAAAAAAATATTTTTGTTTAATATCAAATGAGTTAGAAAATATATACTTATGGTATGAAATAAATTATAGAATTCAGACAAAAAAGAACATTAAATTTAGTTTTTATTCTCTAATACAATAGGTGATTGGAGTGAGCATTCGAACTCTTAATCTAATAGTTGGACACACATACATTGCATTAACCATTAAACTATGCTCCGGTTTAGCTGACAGGAAGATTCGATCCAGAACAATAAAGATATATTAAACAAAGCAAAATAAAGTGAAGTTGACATAGTAAGTCAATGGACCAAACACCACTTTTGGAACATGTAGCATACTATATTTTATTTAACTAAAATTCAGATGGCACGTGTCTCCTGATCCCACGTGTATCCGCCTCTGTTCTGATCAGTAAAGAGTCGAACATTTCATCATCCTTTGAAGTCATCTCCTTTCATCTTCTCAACGCAGCAATAGAATCGCTTGAGAGCCAGTTGGAGAGTGTCCTCACTCATGTTTGCAAAACAAACCCTGAACCAACCCGGTTCGGAGCAGTGGAAGGACGAACCGGGCGGAATATCAAGTTTGGCTTCCTTCAAAATGCAGTTCCAAAGCTCAATCTCTCCTTCTTTGGTTGGTTTGTTCTTCAGCAACGGACTCAAATTCATCCAGCAAAATAAACCGGCGTTTCCTTTCAAGCACTCGATTCCAGCGGTTCGCAATCCTTCAATTATCATATCATACCGCTTCCTCAGCCGCTCCCGGTTCATTTTAATGTACTTTTCTGTAAATTTCCGGTTCGACAGCATGGACGCCGAAAGCTGCTGCGTTTGGGAGGATATGAGCGTGAAGCTCGACATCCGTCGAGCCGTCGTCACGACTTCATCGTTGTACGAATAAATCGTGCCGACTCTGAACCCCGGAAGGCCGAGGTCCTTGGAGAGGCTGTACACGATGTGGACCCGCTCGGCGTCTTTGTAGCCGCGGAATTCCAAAACCTCGGCGACGCTGGTGAACTCGGCCGGGGAGAAGACAGAGCCGGAGTAGATTTCGTCGGATACGAGGTGGATGTTTTTGCGTGTCACGAAATCCAAAATGTCTTCGATTGTGGACCGTTGGATGGTGGCGCCAACTGGGTTTGATGGGTTCGTGATCAAAACTCCTCTAACTTTGATATTCATGGCCACTGCAGCGTTATAAGCCGCTTCCAAAGCTTGGGGAGTAATCTCAAAGTTATTTGAACTGTCGCAGTGAATTGGTACAATTTTCACTCCAGTTCTCCATCTCAAATCTCTGTCAAATCTGAAATTTACCCAAGAAAAAAAACCCATAAATTCTCCGACCAAAATATATATAATATTAGTGCATGAAATTAAATGAACAGTTTTATTTATTTATTTATTTATTCTTACCCAGGATAATAAGGAGTGGGGACAAGCAAGGCATCGCCAGGGTCGGCGAGAATGAAAGTGAGAAGCTCATTGGCGGCAGTGGCACCAGCAGTTAAAACAACTCTATTGGGATCAAATTTGGCTCTTSCACCTCTAATTTCCTCCATAAAACTAGCCATTGCAGTCCTAAAAGAGAGCAGCCCATGGTAATCTTGGAACAAGGCATTTTCTCTGAACCCAGAAGAATTAGAATTAGAATTAGCTGCTCCCCCTTCACAATTCTGCTCCAAATACTCCTCCAACAAGTCGAAAGACAYCTGTTTACRAAAATCCAACGCCAACCCAGTTAAAAAAATTGAGACTTTACGACGAAAAACACAAGAAGTTGAGATTTTTTTTGGTGTTTGTTAATCTTACTTGATTTTCTGCGAGGCCCATTTGGATGACGCCGGWGGGATTGGTTGATTCGTGGTAAGGATCTTCGTCGTAAGCTTTCCAGCCGGCGAAGTACGGCGAGTCTTCGCCGTGAGTGTCGGAGACTGCAACTTTGGAGAGCTCCACCGTTGGCTTTGCTTCGATCTCAATCTCAATCGCCATTGATTTTGTAGCTTAAAGCTCTCTCTTAGAAAAGGGAAAGAAAGAAAGAAAAAAAGAACAATACAGAAGCTGTTCTTTCCCTTCTGAGAGAGAGGAGAATTGGAATTGTAGTGAAAACTGTTGAATGTAGCCCTTAGCAAGGGCGTCTCTATTTATAGCAAGTCCTTAACACTTTTTTTTTTTTTTTCATGG